ATTAAACATTCAAATATGTATTACGTGATGCTAAACATAAAACTGTCTATTTCTGCTAGAAAACTACATGAGGAAGCGGGCACGCGGAGGGTATGTAATCGTGGTTCACCTTTATGATAACACGATAGACCCATAATACAGGGTAGAGAACACCATTTTCAGATTCCAAACGAGGGAAAACTCTATACTGGAGGAAATATAAATATTATGTATCATACGCCACATAATTTCCTTATTAAGAAGCGTTTTCATCCTGTTGACGCGACAGTAGTGCAGAAATGAGATATAACAAATTTCTCAAGGTATAGATCTTCATGCGAATTGTGACACCAAATATGATTTGAGTTTCACTTGCGAGATTGGTAGAGTGGTCCATAGAGGAGAGAACATGTAGAGAAGTAATTTCGATGTCCAGCCACTTCATGGTGAGTGTACAAGAAAGGATCAATTGATGAGAGCACTGGGCTCGTATGGTGCTGATTGTCACCTTTTGACTGTCTAAAAATTTGATAGGTGTATAAATGAATTCGAGAACCGTTATCCTCAGGAACCAGCGTTCTTGAAAGGTGCTGAAATTCGAGGAAAATATCCACTAGAAGCTGAAGAGGGGTGATTCTGGATTGTAGAAAATCTCTCTTCTATAAATTACTATCTCATGTCTTGGTGTGTGACAACAATCTGAGGAAAACTGTCAGGTTGTACTGCATAGACTGGAAAAGCCCTATTACATACCTTACCTAATGTTTCTTTTTGATGTAGGAAAGAAACCTGTCAAGCAACTTCGATACTGTCTGCCGTTGGATGTATCGCAATACATCTTGTGAGCGCGAAACGAAATGTGGAAATTCATTGGGAATTAACTAGTTGTAGGTTACTGTGGCTTCAGTATGTATCTTGAATAATCATTGGCCTTTCTTACAGTGAGTTGGAGTGGTTTCAGAAATGAGTAAATTCAGAGATTTTCTCTTCCTAGTTGGAATGACGATTCATGAAATGGATTACTTATTGGTATAAAACAACATATTTGGCTGAGGCCTTGAACGATATAATAGTTTAATGATTCCTTCCCCGACGCCAATAATTGAATTGTAAGGAGAAAACGGTAGATTGTCACGCACACAGAATTCGCTAAGCCCAAAACGCAATGAAATGATACGAGACATGTGGGTTGTTTTCAATTTGTGTGGAATTGCGACGTTCACTTTCCATTATCGGCAAGAGCGTTATATAATAATATCATATCATCAATCATCAACAACAGGATACTCATAATCATCAATACATATTAAATTGAATATTAATGATCATAAAATAATATAAGCAGCATTATTGGTCAACCTATTATAATATCAACATTAATATATGCGATTAAAGGTGTAAGAGCTTTGTGGAGTATCATTATTATGATCATATTTACTATCATTTTCAGTATTATTTCATAAATCAATATTCATTGTATTAATTATTATGAACCAGTTTATTTGTAAGTGAATATCATTATCATTCATTCCGGCAACATTATCAATTGATGGGATTATTATTATCATTTTATTGTTAAATTAATTATCATTAATCACAATAAATTAATGCTTATCAATCATCAGAATATTCAAATAATCACGAAAAAAAAGGGAGAGATAAAGTTAATCAAACAAGTCCCACGCCTATTGACTGTTATTATAAATTGAGTTTACTTAATCATATATCCACACAAATTTTTAAACATATGTCCATGTGTCAATATCATTAATCATTACCATTACATCATTATTACCATTATCATATCGCCACCATTACAAAGACATTACAGAAGCAGGCAGTCAACGCCCAAACCAACGCCACGTTCAAACATCATAAAAAGCTCTAGAAATAAAGCAGTTGCTTAGAGATCTTTATATAGGTGTGATAGATCGAGTCTATCAGCATACACTTATTAATGCAATCGTCGTAAAATGAAAGCTCTGTACATCGCATCAAAAACCATATGAACATCGAATATTGTAAACAGATGAAAAATAATTAGCAAGCTTCAAAACAAACAGGGAGGTGTGGGATTGAGATATAGTTGAGCAGCTATATATGCTTCAACAACAGGGACATGGAAAATCATAGTAGAAAAACTGTCAAGATACAGAGATTTATTAAAAGAAACTGAAATAAGGCGTAGAGAATTTAGGATACTACTGTCAAGGTCACACGGACATACCTGTGAAATGGAGCACAATATAAGGCAACATAGAACAGGAAACTGGGAACAAAAGAAAAAGTTTCGCTACCATGCACCACGCGCAGCTCGGCACTCATTGACTAGCGAGAGAGAGGAAGCCGTAAGCCAAAAATAAAGAAAATATAAATCTAAAACAGTGGACGCAGTGTATAGATACTGCCGTCACGCCTGGTTGTGTCAAGTGGATATAGATATGTGTCCGCAATTTGGATGAAAATCCTAACCCGCTTTGGTCACTAATGCATCGGATACTATCTTGTTCTATTTAGTTCTTTCACATAATATCTCAATCTGATCACGTGCAATTCAAATAACTATTGAGAAGAAATAAATATTTCTCAATCCGAAATTAATTATGAAAAACAATCATTGCTATTTAGTAACAAAACTTTATTGATCCCTACTTACTTTATCTAATTTTTTCTTATTATTTGTAAGGAAAGTTTTCCATAGTTATATCATATGTCAGGACTTCGTAATCAACGCGTGGTAAATACTTTATTGCATCGCGTGGCAATTACGTCAACGTAACAGGACCCGTGTAGATTGTGTGAGTAATATGAATCAAAAGAAGATGAATATCATCACTGATATTTATGTAGTTTTAATCAGTAGCCATACGCATACCATGAAAAATAAAAATATATACAGAAATATAAACCCAGTATCATACTATCCACTAGAGTACTCGAAGCATTAAAAATACCTTTTACGAAGTGTAAAATAACTGCGATCAAAGAATTTACCTAAACAACAAGCCCAATATATAAAACGAAAACACACACAGGTAACTAAGGCACGATTTAACTACACTTAAGATCCACAAAATCAAATCATGATGCGTTGAGATAACGATTTTCTCTCTTCGTATCTAACTATTACAAAAAAAAATTGCAAATAGAAATCCAAACACGCCAAAAAACGTATGTCCAAAACGACTTGTAGAGGCCCGCAGCCTCAGATTGGAATGAGAAAAAAAAAGTTGGCTACGTTGCCCTCCGAGCCCGAATCTTAATAAATTTAGAATGACAAAGATAAAAAATATAAAAATCTCGAGCTTAAGAGAATAAGTAATATCAATCTTTCGATGACATAATATTAAAGTTACCGAAAAGTCTCTCTCAATCAGAAAAGGTCGGGAAGGAAGCAATAAAAGAAACTGGAAACGAAAAAGAGCAAGGTCCCCCCTAGTTCATGGTACTCGTATCGAAGCCGAGGGAACAGGTGAGAACTTCCGGCGAAATAAATAGCGTCGAGTTTATGCCGCCGATGCCGCGCCCTGCATGAAGAATAACCGTCTGCCACGCAAAGAAAGCCTCACAATAGATTATTTTCATTTCCCCTGAGTAACGTGCCGAAAAATTGATGACAAAATTATCTTATTCCTCTATCGGCATAGAGGCATCAAGAGCCAGGTGTCTTTTTCTGCAGCGTTATTGCCTGCACGCTCTGTCGCGTCAGAGACTCCTAGATTTTTGTCCATAATTTTCCTTCGGAGTCTGATACAATAATTAGTAATAGAGTACCCAAAGCTGCCCTGCCAAATAGAAATAGAGCAAGAGAAGCAGGGAAAGTAGCTTGGCAGCCAGAGCCTGGAGGAATTCAGCGAAGACTTGGTCCCCGCAAGCTTCCCTGTCTGGTCACAATAAATCAGCACCGCAGAGGATGGAAATTGAAAAATAGTAACTCCGCCCTGTGATCATGCGTCTCGGGAAGACCCGAAAAGACGCAAAGACGCACGGACACAAAGCGTCAAACATTCTGAGAGCCCCGATTAGCGGGGAAAAACGCATGACTGAAAATTACATAGTAAGAAACAGTCCGTGGCAGCCGCGGTGAAGGAGAGGGAACTCAAATCGGTCAGGCTAGAGATTCGCCGTAAATATCCTGAGAGAACTAAACCCGGCTACCAGAAAAACCGACGCTTAGG